GGCGGGTCGGTGTCTGGGCCAGGTTGTCAGGCAGGAGATCTTCTTGCGATACGCCAAACTACTCTTCTGTACCGAGCTACCCTACAAGTGGCGAGTTGCCCGGGGTAGCTATGCCGAGCTGCTTGTGGCGAGCTTTGCCGAGTTGCCTGGCTCCTTGGAGAGCTACCTAGCTCCTTGGCGAGCTCTTTGGTGAGCTACTGAGCTCCTTGGCGAGCTCCTTGGTGAGCTACCAAGCTCGCAGGATATGCCGTTATGGTTCATCGGTGGGCGTCTTATGGGTTGCCAGGTCGGCCAGGTCGGATCATGTGTCAGGCTGATCCAGGTCGGCCAGGTCGGTGCCCCGGCGTGAAATGAAAACACTGTTCATTTCAAGTGGTGTATAAATAAATAAATAATCATGGTCACACAATCCCACCTTGTATGGGTATGTGTCCCATTTTTTGACCTCCATGAAATGAGTGCCTGAGGTTTCTCCATCATTGCAACTATTATGACCCAAAACTTACCCTTTCACGGAAAATCCATGATGCGGGAAAGATATGGTATGGAAAGAGTTTTGATCAATTAAAACTCATTCATGAATTTTGATAAATAACATCGGATTGGTTATCATGTTTATGATATAAATTGATTGATAAAAAAATTTTCAGATATTATATCTTTCTGATATCATAATCGAACCCTAAACTTCATAATGGCATTTTCCAGTAATTGTATTACTTTGGTCTGTATATTAATTTTGTTCTTCAGTATATCTTGGGGCAAAGCTAAGCTATTGGGGTCATGGGTGGTTCTATATATTAGAGGAAACAAATAGGTTGGGCTAATACTCCTCCCCTTGGATCAATCCGATTTATTTTGATTGATTGGATTTTTAGGTTGGGCTCCAATTGGAATGACTTACTATTGACTTTATTTATTTTGTTGGGTCAGATAAGACAATACCACAATCTTAACTCAACCTTAATTTGAAGGGAAACTTCAAATCTAACTATTTGGGTTGGATTTGAGATGAAATGGACAATAATTCCTATGAACGCGATATAGAAAATTTTGCCTTAGTCCCATTCTCCATTATCGCTTGAGAAAATTCCTGGCTCCACGTACGAATGCATGTACATCCAATTGGAATGTAAACTATATCCATATTCGATTCCTGCTCCGAATTCGGAAAAGCACACATTTGCACCCTACCAGGATTTAGTTCACTTTGCTTAGATACCAACAAATTCATTGGAAAAGGGCATRAATCATAATCGTAGCTATCTGGGTCTACAGGGAGGCCAGGAATTACAGTCAGATACCATGGGCTTACCTCATGGGCCGGCGGGAGTCTTGTTTTGAACTTGTTTATCAAACGTGAGGAGCGGCCGAATTATCCCCCCAGGGCCCAGGCCCCAGCGTTGTCCCACTTTGTTCGACACAAAGCGACGTAGTTTTTCGACTGCTATCATTAGGCCTCCAAGTCGGGTTGTTTCAAACTCTCAATGTCATTGGGCCCAGTTTAGAGTTCAGACATTCAAAATTTAACTATTTCCCAGCCCGACCCACCCAAATTGCTTCTTCATTTGCAGTTCCGGAATACCTGGACCAATCAATCCCGGCCGTTCAGAAAATGAGGCGTGGCCTTTAATGACTGTTGGATAATAATTGCCTGCGTGGATTTTATGTGTATACGGTATACCATGCCGTACTGGATTCTTCCGAAGACGTTAAATTAAATTACGTTCGTTAATCATACAAGTTCACTCGATGTTATGTTTCATTTTCTATCCGTAGAAGTTAGAACAAAAGGCCAAAAGGGAACCCGACGGTCTGGATCAATGTTCTCGCCTGTGCCTGGACCTGGAGGGAGAGCTTTTTGTCCATCATCTTGTTAGAACAGTTGGATCAGGATCTATATGAAAGGTGCGAATCAGACGGTTTTAACATGCCTAAACATTTACAACCATACCTTTCCTTCTATCTAAAATTTCTCCAAATTCCAATTCTGTCCTTTGTCAACGCGGGAATCAGCTCCGCGTCTAACGGAACCCCGGAACCCTAAATCCTAACTCTAGTTGACTCGGTTGAGTTAGGTGGTGAACCTCGAGCCGTCCCTGTCTGTCCCACAGCTGCCCTTTTCTCGATCCAACGGATAGAAATGCACCGCAAATAAAGTATAAAACACTAGCCGTTGATTATATGCTATCGTTCGCGACACGTCCTCATATGCGCCGAGACAAAGTTGTCAAAAACGCGCAAGAACATGCTCACAAGTATTTTCCCGACAACGGAAGAAAGTGTCCGGACGGTGCGGATTGGACAATTACGTGGGGCCCGTTTTTTTCGATGATATACGGAGGGAAGATCTTAACCGTCAAGCTGTTGACACGATTGATGAATCCCACTCACTGTACAGTTCGCTCCAGGCTGGGTCGCGTACGATACGATGGGACCCGAGGAACGGGAGTTAATTACAGTTTCTTAATTTTCCGAAAATACCCGTGCTTACGGCGGAGAATTTTGATAATGCCCTAGGTTTTCACGTGCTGCTAACCTACTGCGCTGTACACAGATTCGATTCACTCTACAATGATAAGGTGTTGTGCATTCGTTCTACAGCACGGAATTTTCAAATCTGGTCCCACGTGCTCGACAGGATGGCGTCATGATTATGATTTATTGGACATACCGGAGGAAATCTGAATCACAAAGGGTTGGTGTTGGTGCATTGTAACGAGAGGATGGATGTACAGAGATTCCAAGAATCCCGGTTATATGATATCGGTTCCCCTTAATTAAACAAGTAGGGTACTTAAGACGACGAGTTTAAGAGTAACAGCTAGACAGTTTGTATGAAAGAGTAGGGGTAGTTTCGGAAGTTCGTAATTAATGTTGATTTTAACGTTAAGACAAGAGGGAGAAAGAAGGGGAACTGGTGTGAAAAGGAAGAGTAGAGGAGTGACGTTGCAGGGTTTCTTTTTCTTCACACAGGCTCTGCCGGTATTCGGCGATCGAGCTTGGTGAAGGGTTACGCGGCTGCGATCGATTCTAGCTGTGAGGCCTCTGCAACGAAGACGTTAGCCGGCGACGATAACAACAGTTCCCACGTGACCGCATCACCCTCTGCCGCCGCTTGCCTTTTTCTGGCTGTTGGTTTTATTGTTATTTATGGTTACTGTTAGATTCTTCGGAGAAGAGAAGTTTTATTGACAGGTTTGGTGGTGTTAAGAGAGCAAAGGTATAATCTTCGGCATTGGGTTTGGATAGGAGTAGACGGAGGAGGGAAGAATCAGGGAAGAGAAGAGGGCGAAGAGGGTAAAGATTGAATCTTCTAGGCTCTTTTTTTGGTGGGCTGGTGAAGAAATTGATGAATTTGGGGTATTGCATGATCGGCGGTAGAAGGTGTGGTTGTGGATCCAGAAGCAGCTGAGGTTCCGATCTGGTCGAGCTCTGTTGAAATGGTATGGGCCTGCAATTTTGTTCTGGAATTTTGTGGATTTCGTTTGGTTTGTTCTTTCCAAGCCTTCAGTTTCGATTGGTTGTTTTGTATTTGCCTTGTTTTTGAGTAATTTGATGATAATTTAGTGGATTTGTATTTTTGTGCTACTCTAATCCGTCGATCTGAGTTAACTATGAAGAGAGTAGGTGGGAGGATATTCGGAGGAGCTTCAAGACTTAACTTTTAATGAACAGAAGTGGAGATTTTCAGTTCAATTTTCTAATCAAACTCAAATACTAGTGGACTGCTATTTATAGATATTTTTAACTGGTCCTACTGGGAGGCAGAAAGATTCAACCCGTCATTTATCGTGTTTATGGAAGCTGTTAAGAACTAGCTTGATAACAGGCATGATCTTTGTGGTCTGAAATTTGGCAACAATGGCTTTACTCAGATAAAAAGTTTCAATGGCCGTGGGATAAAATGTGGAAACTGGAATGTCTGGTCAACCACATTGGATATCAAATTGTCTGGTAGAGCTCTAATCACAATATTAAAACTACAAAGAAACTGCATGTATCATATCCTCCTGGTAGGTCCAGTGAGTTTGCACCATCTCACAAAAATTTGCTATGTATGTGTCTAGTTCATCTCTACAGGGTTTTTGATCAGTCTCTTTCTGCTCTATGTAATAAAGTGAACGAGTTACTTTGATATTGTGACCTGGATTCAAAATCCATTTTTTACTTCTTTGCTTGCTTGCAAGGGGAACAAGGACCAAACTAACCACTCTGGAACTTCATACATGCTAAATGACATCAAGTGGTGCGATTAGGGACAGAGTTGACAGACGGACTTGAACTAGCTAGCTTTCTGGCATTTGATAATAACAATCCTAGTTAGCACTCTGATTATATTGTTGAGTTATTCATTCTTTACGTAAGAAATTCATTTTTCAAGATATTTGTTGAACTCACTACTTTTTGTTGTACATAACTGGTGTATGGTAACTAATATTTTGCACTGGATGTACTAACTACCAGGCTAACCTAATGCAATAACAAACTTTAGTAGGTCTTTGTCAATGGTCAGAAGCTCAGAATGTCCTGAACTTGGGGGCCTTTTGATAACAGTTAAATGTAGCCAAACTTAATGACTTATTGCTTTGTCTTTTAGTAGATGGTCATGTAATAAGATACTTTAATGGCTTATCCTCTAAGAGACAAGGCAAGAAGCCATTCAGTTGAGCTACTTCATCTATTATCAAAGGACTCATGAACAATAAAAAGTGAACTTAGGTGGTGATACTAGGAAGCAATAGATTGTTACATCATATGATTTCTAATGTTGCATTTGTTTCCACAGTATTGGTTGCATTGCTATTTGGACAGCTACTGTTTTAATATAGTTGTATACATCTCTCTCTCTCTCTCAACTTATATAAAAATCGTATCTTAATTGCTGATTAGCTAACACTGTTGGCTCTGCAGGCTGCTTTTGTGGTTGGGTCCCCTGTTTGGGTGGTGGATCCAGAGGTAGCTTGGATAGATGGGGAGGTTGTGCAGGTAAATGGTGAAGAAATTACAGTCATCTGTACATCAGGGAAAACGGTAAGTGCTCTTGCTAGGGTTATGGTGCTTTTGTTTGGAAATTGAGGATTTAAACTTTTCTGAGTTAAGTGTTTACTCCAATCAAATTGTTTCTTTTGCTGTTGATATAAGGTGTGAAGTTGTTTAGGTATCTGATTCTAGTTCTTTCCCTTGTAACTGTCCTATTCATTGGTATTAATTTCTTATCTGCTTTGAATTCGGTTGTTTTCTAAGGGCAGATATTTTTTCTAGCAACCTTGTTTCTTTGCCTTCACTTTTTCAAGTCATAAGAATTTAGCTTTGAGATTCCACCTTCTATGCTAATTGTCTTTAAGTGGATTTTTTACTCCCTTGCTTGTTCTTTGCTACTTTCTTATTCCCATGGGTTTGTGGAAAATTGGCATCTCTATGTTGCAGGTTGTTGTTAAAGCATCCAATGTTTATGCCAAAGATGCTGAAGCACCGCCATGTGGTGTGGATGATATGACAAAACTAGCTTATTTGCATGAACCAGGAGTCCTGCATAATTTGAGAACTAGATATGACATCAATGAAATTTATGTAAGCACCAGAGAATAAGATCCTTGCATTTTCCTAGAGAATATTGCTACTCCAATTGACCCTTTTGCTTATTTTTAATACACTGAAACTAACCCAACCCACAAAATGTTTCTTCCAGACTTACACAGGAAATATATTGATTGCTGTGAATCCTTTTAGAAGACTACCTCATTTGTATGATAATCATATGATGGAGCAATATAAAGGGGCAGCCTTTGGTGAGCTGAGTCCACATCCTTTTGCTATTGCTGATGCTTCTTACAGGTAATTAATTGAACTTTGGGTTTAGTCTCATTTATGTTAATCACTTGAGATTTCTCATTTGTATAAAAAAATTGTAATTTCTGTTGAAAAAGACTGATGATGAATGAGGGGATAAGTCAATCGATTCTTGTAAGTGGAGAAAGTGGAGCAGGTAAAACCGAAAGCACAAAAATGCTTATGCGTTATCTTGCATATATTGGAGGAAGAGCTGCAGCCGAGGGGCGGACAGTGGAACAGCAAGTATTAGAGGTAAAGGAATTTTATAATTTAGTCAAACAAAGTTGTTCAATAGTTGATTTTGACATCATGCCAATATTGAGTATTGAGCTCAAACCAATTCTAGATATTTCTGTTTATTCTATCTTCTGTTTGTTTGGCAGTCAAATCCTGTTCTAGAAGCATTTGGTAATGCAAAGACTGTCAGAAATAATAATTCAAGGTGTGGGGAATTCTTGCTATAAGTGATTGATACAATTCAAGAAATTTAAACTGTATACACTTTTTGTTTGCTTGTTTTTTTTTTTTTTTTTAAACTGGTTTGAAGCCTATGCTAAATTGTGCAATTTGGACCTTGAAGTCGTTTTGGTAAGTTTGTGGAGATCCAGTTTGATCAGCGGGGAAGAATTTCAGGAGCTGCCATCAGAACCTACTTGCTAGAGCGATCTCGTGTTTGTCAAGTGTCTGATCCTGAGAGAAATTACCACTGCTTCTACATGCTTTGTGCTGCACCACCAGAGGTAATGGACCATGATCTTTTCTTTAGAATATATAAACACATGTATATGCATGCTACACAAAAACTAGGGCCATATCTTCAAACTTCCATAAAAGATTATTGCTTATTTGGTTACTTGGTCATTTCTGTTATTAGGTGCTTGAATATGCGTTATATCATAAGCGTCTTATTAGTAAAGTTTAATCCACTTTTAGAATTAAATTATGTGAATTGTTGTTATTTATTTATGGATTGGGAGGGGACATGGTTAAATCTGAGTAATAATGTTCAGGTGATTTTTGTTATGTGCCTTAGGATAACTCACCCCTGTTAGAGGGAGGGAATCCAGACACATATACACCCCACAACAGCATCCCATACTACCGATGTGGGACCAATGGGTCGTAACAGTTGTGCTGCCTCATTATTACCTTTTACACCATAAGGGCCTTGGAGAGGAAAAAATGGGGCCTATAGAAAAAGTATTGCTTATTCAGTTACTTGCTTGTTTCTGTTCAAGGTGTTTGAATATGCATTATATTTTGAGCACCTTATTAGTAAATCTTAATCCACTTTAGAATGACTTAATCTGATTTCTTTTTTCATTGTGCATTGTATCATGTATGGCTTGGGAGGGGACAGGTTAAATCTGACTAATAGTGCCTTGAAGAAAGGCAGAAATGGGGCCAGCAGGACTCAGAATACATATTAGTTTCTTGGCTCTAGTTAGTCAAATTGACTGAACAGGACCCAATTTTTAGGCTGCATTTTTCTGTTCTAGGATTTAAAACCTTGTCTGAAATTTGAACTTAAGGTTTTTTCAAAATCAAATCGGAAACCAACGATTAATTTGGGTTCATTTGGCTCAATTTTCTGAGCCACACTTTTAGAGAACAAAGTTCTCCCATAGGGAGCTGAATTAGGTGCTGTCTGGAACAGCCAAAGTGGCTGAACTAAATGACTTACACTTTGTCCTTTAGTGAAAAAGTTATATAGGAGGTTGTGAACTCCTTAATGGCCGAGAAACTATTTTTCAGGGTGGAAAAATCACTTCATGTGCAGGCAACTTTTATCAATGCCATTGGCATGCTTCTTACTGGCATATGAGGTTAGCTGCTATAAGAAACTAAATTCCATATACCTGAGAAAAAGGTTCAGTGCCATCCATGCTTGCTGAACTGCTTAGGTGGGTGGCTGGGT